GACCCCTCCCTGGGGGTGGGGTCAGGACCACTCCCCAGGGTACTTAAGTGATCCCCCAAAAGAAGAACACGTGGTCCCCCTTTCTTCCTCCCGTGGGTCGCTTCCCGTTTCCCCCTCGGGGCCACCCGAGAGCGCAGATCTCCCATTAAACCTGGATATTTCTTAATTCGGCTTGTTTTGATTTGGCTTGATTGGGAATTTTTGCGTCGTCAGAGAGCTCGCTTAGGAAATATTCCTAACACTAAGGCCCTTCCCTGAGCCCCAGCCTCGACTTATCTCTGAGACCCTCCCCATACTTTCCCTGGGCCCCGTCCCAAGCTTCCCCCCCAGGTCTCCCCTGGGCTCCGCCCCCGACTTTTCTCTGAGCCCCGCCCAGCTCCATCCCTGAGACCCATCCCGACTTTTCCCGGGCCTCGACCCCAGGCCTTCTGCTGAAAATGGGGAAGGCTCTCTATAATGGTGAGTATTATAGTGAGTCTTAGAAGGATCAGATCGGGGCGTAAAGTAGAGAGAGGCTCAGTTCCGCCGGTGTGACCCGGACGGTCCAAAGCGGGGAGGAGCCTTGTCCTGCGCCCAGACCACGGCTCAGCTGATCACCAGGCTCAGCCGCTGTCTGTTCTCGCCCTGCCCCACCCGTGGGCCTGCTCTGGCCGAGGTTGCGTTTCAGGCCTCAGTTTCCCCACTTTACTCAGGAAAGAGCGGAAGAGGACTGAGTCGCCGCCTGGTCCCCACCGACCGCACCCTTCCCTGAAGGCCCGCTGCGGTCAGCACTGGACAGCTCCCTGCCATCCTGAGTCCCAGAAATGGAGTGTGCCCAGCTCGTGGCTCCCATGAACCTGAGTTCAAATCTCAGCATCCAGTGACCATGAGTGAGGGACAGGTTGTGGTCCTAGCGCCACAAAAGCTTTTTGTTTTGCTTTGTTTTGTTTTGAAGTGTAGGATTGAGGAGATGCCTGCCTGAGTTCAGTTCCAGGGGACCACAGGCTGAAAGCATAGAACCAGCTCTTGATATTTGTCCTCTGACCTCTATCTGTGGACTGTGTAAGATGTAAGCTCCCCATAAATAAACTGATAAAAATTAAATGCAATAAAACCACCACACACACACACACACACACACACACACACACACACACACTGAGCTCAGGGAAGCTGGGTGCTGGTTCTGGTGAGAGTTCTGTGAAGCTCAGGGTCCCCTGGAAATAAACCTGCACAGGATCTTGCTCATGTCATCTCATTGCCTCCCCAGCGAGTCCGGGAGCCCGTGGATTCTGGAACAGCCCCCGCCAGCGCCCTAGGTGGAGGTATGATCCGGAGACCTTTCTCAGGGACCCTGCTGCTGCCCCCTCTGTCCAGCCGCCTCACGTCCTCAGGGGAGGCAGAGTCTGATGCCCGTGTGGTTTTCACCATCGGAACTCGAGGAATCGAGAGAAGCCAGGGCCCAACTCAGAGCAGGTGAGGAGCCAGTTATGCCCAAGGAGGAAGAGTGTGCTGCCTGAGCCCTCATGGTTAGCTTGGGACAGGAGGTGAATGCCCACATTGTTCTGGGGACACTCTGGGCTGGGAAAGAGGCGGCCATGCTCAGGTTGGCCACGGCTGTCTAGACGGTGCCAGAGAAAGACTTGCCTAGCAGGTGGAGCAGAAGCTGCCAGATCAGTTTTTCTGGAAGGGCCCAGGGACGTAGGCAGGGGATGGACACCCCAAGACCGGGGGAGGGGGTGCTACAACAATTGGCACCAGTTTGACCATATTGGTATTTTTAAAAATCTCCAAACCAGGTGGGCATTGTTGCTCAGGTCTTGAGAGACTGAGCAGGAAAATGGTGAGCCTGTCCAGTTTGGCCAAAGTCTTCAAAAATATATAAATAAGAGAATCTCTGTGCCGGCAAAGATGGCTCAGTGGGTAAAGGTGCTGACCTACAAGCCTGACAATCTGAGTTTGATCCCTAAGACTCACACAGTGGAAGGGAGAGAGCCAACTCTCACAACGTGCCTCTGACTTATTCATGTGAGCTACGGCATGCCTACTGTCCCAGAAGTGACATCAATAGACAAATGCCACTTTTTATTTAAAAATTTAGAGCCCTTCTTAATTAGGGTTTTATTGTTGTGAGGAACACCATGACCAAAAGTAACTTGGGGAGGAAAGGGTATGTTTGGCTTACACTTCCACGTCACGGTTCCTCATCAAAGGAAGTCAGGACAGGAACTCAAATGGCAGGAGCTGATGCAGAGGCCATGGAGGGAGATGCTTGCTGGCTTGTTCCTCCTGGCTCACTTGGCTGGTTCCTCCCCAGCAGCCACCTGTTAGGAAAATGCCCCGCAGGCTTGCCTACAGTCAGCTCTTATGGGGGCTCTTTTTCAGCTGAGGGTCCCTCCTCTCTGTTGACTTCACATCATGTCAAGATGACATAGGACTAGCCAGGACAAAGTGCTGTAGGCCTGGGGCTAGATTTTGAATGATAAAGGGCTATAACTTAAACCAGGTGTGATGACATTTGGCAGCGGAGTGGAGGCAGGAGGATCAAGAGTACAAGGTCAGCCTCACTTCAGGGGCTGCTGGGTAGAACTGACATTCAGGCTGGGGTGAAAACAGACCCAGGATTGGGCTCAGCAGAGTCTGGGTGGGGGCACCCGTGTGTGGCCTATCATGGTGGCCCCCAGTGAAGGTGGGAGTGTCACGGTGGCTTTGAGAGCTCTGTGGTCACATGTAATATCTGTTTTCATCTTTGCAGTGAGGCCAAGGGGCATGGGAATCATGCTTAACTCCCCACTTCCCAAGATAGAAAATCTTGGGCAACTTAGCACTGTTACCTGGGATGGGATGGAAAAAAAGACTGAGGGACCAAGTGATGCTCAAAACCTTCAGGAGAAAGCCGTGCAGTGGTGGCGCACGCCTTTAATCCCAACACTCGGGAGGCAGAGGCAGGCGGATCTCTGTGAGTTCGAGGCCAGTCTGGTCTACAAGAGCTAGTGCCAGGACAGGCTCCAAAGCTACAGAGAAACCCTGTCTTGAAAAACAAACAAACAAACAAAAAAAATAAAAAAAACCTTCAGGAGAGTCTGGGAGGTGGTGCATGGCTTTAATCCCATCACCCCGAAGCAGAGGCAAGAGGATCTCTGTGAGTCTGAGGCCAGCCTGGCCTATATAGTGAGTTCTAGACCAGCCTGAGTTAGAAAGTAAGATACTGTCTCAGTCACTGTTCTGTTGCTGTGTAGAGACACCTTGACCGAGGTGACTCAGAAAAGAAAACTTTTATTATCTGGTTTATAGTCTAGGGTAGTCCACAGCCATCACAGTGAGGAGCACCATCATGGTGGGGAGCATGGTGGCAGCTGGCGGCAGGCCTGGTGCTGGGGCAGTAGCTGAGAGTGCACATCTGATCCTCAAGCAGGAGGCGAACAGATAAAGGCTGCACCTGGCCTGGGCTTTTTGTTTGTTTCTTTTGTTTACTTTTGTGAGACAGTTGTCTCACTATGTTGCCCTGGCTTTCCTGAAACTCTCTGTAGAACAGTCTGGTTTTGAACTCACAAAGATCTATCTGCCTCTGCCTTCCAAGTCCTGGGACTAAGGCATGCACCACCATGCCAGGTTGGCCTGGGCTTTTGAAATCTCAAAGCTCACTTCAGTGATTTAGCTCCTCCAAGGCCACACCTCCTAATCCTTCCCAAGCAACTCCACCAGCTGGGGACCAAGCACTCAAGCATGGGATCCCCATGAAGACCAACCATTCTCATTCCAACCACCCCAGGCCACGTCTCAAAACTAAAACTCAACCAAAGGAGAGAGAAAGAAGGAGGGGGGGGGAGAGAGGGAGAGAAAGGGAGAGAGAGAGAAAGAAAGAGAGAGTATTCCCTCAAGCCTACAGAACACTTGGCACACAGTGAACTCAGTCCTTTGAGGAATTTTATTTAAGAGAGAGACAGAGAGAGGGAGAGAGAGAGCTCGCACAGCAAGGCAGAGATTGTCTTTCTTTCACCATGTGGGTCTCAAGGACCAAGGTCAGGTCTTCAGTCTTCGTGGTAAGTGCCTGCATAGACTGCACCTCCTGGCTGGCTTCCTGTGTCTTGGGTCTGGGGAAGGAGCAGAGTTGGAGATGGTTTCCCTGTCACATCCCCTCATAACAAGCTCCTGAGGCCTGTTCCTGCCAGTTCCTTCCCAGCACAGTGCCCTCGGGAGACTCCCTCAGGCCTGAGGCATGGCACTGCCCTGGCCATCTCCTGCTCCACACTCAGTTCAATGTGCTGCCTACACACTTACACTTCTGTTATTAGGGTGGGAACTGTCCTCGCTGCTCTCCGCCACTCTCCAGGAAATTCCCCCTGAGACTAGGAGGGGTGGTGAGTGGGAATGGGAAGCTGAGACCAGGCAGGAATCCTGATTACAAGGTGGAGCCCTGGGGTGTCTTGGGGCCAATGAGATCTCGTGTCCTGTCGAGGATCTAGGCACCGTGGGGCTATAAAGACCCGGGTGTCTGCCGTGTCCTGCTGGCTGCCCTGAGAGCGCAGGCAAGGTAGGTCTTCATCTAACTCTTTAACCCCAGGGTGGGGACACGCTTAGAGTTCTTAGCACTGGCTTCCCCTCTGGCCTCTGCCTTTAGTGCCTGGGATCTCTGGCCTGTGACCTTGTGTGCACACGTCAGGGCGGTGTGTGTGTGTGTGTGTGTAGGGGGGTGGAGGTACCTCCAATTTTGCCGTTTTACTGGGACCCCTCTTCCGACGGCTGGGACTGGACCTGCAAGCCTGCCTCTCTGAGTATGCTGACGAGCCTGCGGTGTGTCTCCAGGGAACGGACCCTGAATCCACCGAGGCTTCTTGCTCAAGAGGCCAGGAACTTCCGTGACCGGTGGGGGTAGCTTCAGATCTGAGTCCTGTGATCTTTCCTGCCTGGCTTCAGCACCGCGGAGAGGGAGGCTCCTTGGGGTGGGATCCCGGCTCTGGACACAGCCCCTCCCGGGGCCGCCCACGGTCTCTCTTTCCTTTCCTTGGTTTTGGGGGGCCGCGCATGGAGACCCTGGGTGTCAGCCGCGCAGGAGTCCCACGGCCCCCGAAGCATTTGTGGAGGCAGCCACGGCGCCCCATCCGCATCCAGCGGCGCTTCCACTCGGACCCGGAGCCCAGCGAGTGGTCTATGCTCCTGAAGTCCTGGCGCTCGTGGCCCAGCTCCTTCCACCGCCGGTAGGTGGGAGGGCGGAGCCTGACTGAGAAGGCGGGACATGGGGCGGGACCTGTTTGAGGAGATGACAACTATTGTGGGGGAGGGCCTGGAGCTAGTTGGCTAACACGAATGGGCACCTGTCACGGTTTGCGTGGGGGCGGGAATCAAGCCCCTAGCTGCTAGTAGAAAGTAGGCGGAGCCTGGAGGGGATGGATGGCGCCTGCCTGGGTGGGCGTGGTCGGTGTTGGGAAGGGCAGGGTGTCAGAGTTGGGGGGGGACTCGTTGGGTGAGGGAAGGTCCTGGTCTTTAGGAAGGCAGGGTCGGTCGAGGGGAAAGGACACTGGAAGAGATGAGGCGGGGTGTAAGTGGGCGTGGTCTGCAGAGGACTGCGGGTTGAGGGTGTTGTTGAGTCCCGAGCGTGTGGAGAGGTGTGCCTTGGTTGGGTGTAGAAGAATCCAGACCTCTCCAGAGGTACGGCAGGGGCGGGACCTGAGGTTTGTGGGCTGGGCCAGTGAACTGGGTCTGAGCTGAGCGGCGCCTACTAGCGGTGGAGTGTCCGGGCTCCTAGGCTGGCGGGGCAGGGGCGCGGCCTGGAGGTGATGAAGCCGAGTCTGGAGGACTGTGGGTTCAGTGTCTTCTGGGGGAGGGGATGGGCAGGGTTGAGCACCTGCTGCTGGGCTGGCGTGGTGCAGAAGGGTCCGGGCTACTCCTGCGGACTACATGGGAAGCCTTTGTTTGGTATTAGAAGTGCACTTTGGAGGAAAAGCTGTGTCTAAGCGAAGTGGCCTTGGATGAGTGACTCAGGGTGCCCCGTGCCATGGGCCCCCGGTGTTCTGTGGCACCTACAGGTGACAGTCTGAACAGTGGCCCACCGCAGGCGATGGTCCGCTGCCAGGCTCCAGTCGTCTGTGTCTTTATTGGTCCCCACTCAAGTGTATCGCCGCAGTTATGTATGGGCTGAGTTTCGTTTTGGGCCGCATTGGTGTGTCAGCAGCTAGGTGGGGCTGTCCTTGCCAGTCCTCTGCCGGGCTTCAGCGGAGGGGGCTGCTTTAGAATGTTCACAAGTGTTCAGGAGGCCTTGCAAACTCCTCTCGGCATCCAGGTGGCCCTTAGGCTGCTAAGGAAAGACAGAACCCAAACCGTGGTGCTGGTAAGCAGTTCACCATGGCTTGCCGCTTGCCCCCATCCTTGCGGGACAGAACACAGTCTTTACACTTAAGGATTAGGGAGCTATATGGTGGGGGGAGTCTCATACCTTTAATCCCAGCACTCCAGATGTAGAGAAGCAGGCAGATCTCTGAGTGGACGCCAGCCTGGTCTACAGAGTTCCAGGGCAGCCTGGACTACATAGGAAGACCTTGTTTTAGAAAAGAAGGAAGAGTGGAGGTGGACCTGGAGAGATGGCTCAGCAGTGTCTCCCGTGGCAATCTGATATTAACCCCCATCTAATTTTAAAGTATTAAGAATAAACTATTGCCGGGCGATGATGGCGCACGCCTTTAATCCCAGCACTAGGGAGGCAAAGGCAGGCAGATCTCTGTGAGTTCGAGACCAGCCTGGTCTACAGAGCTAGTTCCAGGACAGGCTCCAAAGCCACAGAGAAACCCTGTCTCGAAAAAAAAAAAAAAAGAATAAACTATAGTGGCGTAGTGGTGCACAACTTTAATCCCAGCATTTGAGAGGCAGAAGCAGGCGGATCTCCCTGAGTCTGAGGCCAGCCTGGGCTACAGAGTGAGTTCCAGGACAGCTGGGGCTACGCAGAGAAACCCTGTTTTGAAAAACAAAGCAAGAAAAATTACGAAATGAAAGGAGGAGGACCCGAGGCTGTGGCTGTGTTGGCAGCTCGCTCGCCTGCCACACTGGCAGCCCTGGGTTCCCACACCTGCCCTCCGGGCACTCCTAGCTAGAGGACCACCATCTACAGCCGCACAGCCAGTGTGAGGCCAGCCTGGGCTATGAGAAACCCTGTTTAAGAAGGGAAAGGAACAGAGTGAAGTTCATGCACTCCTGCTTCTAGAACAAGACATACGGGATAAGAGACTCCACTGGGGCACAGCAGTGTCCCCGGAGGACAGTGTGTGTCTGTGTATGGGTGTCTCCAACTGTGGCTGTGTCCCCAGGGCCAGGCACAGTCATCGAGTCCTTGGTGGGTCTGGGGAGAGGCCTTTGGACAGAATGAGCTCTCAAGATGGAGCTCAGCCAAGGGAACCTAGGCCACATCACTGCCCCTCTGGGCACCGTTGTGCTCCTGGGCCACCCAGCATCACAGCCCGCAACCTGCCTGGAGCACCCTGGGTCCTTCAGTGCAGAGGACTGGGTCTGTGCCCCAGTTGACCTCGCAGAGCCTGCCCCACCCTCTCCAGTGACTCATGATTTTCCATTTTCAAGAAAGAACAAACACATTTCCTTTGGGCCTCCTCTGATGCAGGGAGGGGAGACCCCACGTGCTCCCCTGCTTCACCTCACGGAAGTCAAGCTCAGGGCTGGAGACGGATGTTCTGACCCCTAGGCTGAGCCTCCTCACACCAGCCGTGGATGGAGCAGGTGTAGGTAGGTCAGGACACCTTGTTCAGAAAGTATTTACGAAGCACCTTCTGTTTACCAGGTGTGACTTGAGAACCTATAAAGATGGCCACACAGGTGGCTTTGTTGGAGTCCCGGGGTGGGAGTCGGTCAGGAAGATGGAGGATGTGAAGTGGTGTGGAGCAGGGGAAGGGGTGCCCTGCCCCGAGAGCTGGGGAGGAGCTTTCCTAACACCTACCGTCGAGGGTATGGCCGAAAGCAAGGCAGACCTGGGGCAGCAGATGGAGGAGAGGCTGGAGCCCAGGTGGCAGAGAAGACCCGGCAGAGGCTGGCTGCAGAGATGATTCCAGCTGAGGTGGATGGAGGCCATAGGAGGCCCTGGAGGACAGGTGGCTCCGCCCTGTCTCTGGGCCTCCTGGTAACAGAAAAGAGCTCTCCTGGGGGGAAAGAGGATTCAAATAGAAAGCAATGAAGGCCATGGGGTGACCAGAGACTTCTAGGTGCTCCCTGAGGTCACACAGCAATGTAAGTACAGGCCAGGATGAGGGTTGTGGCCTAGCTGGACTGAAGCCCTTGAAGCTCATGGGGGCCAGACTTTGAATGTCCAGTCCAGTCTTTGTGGCTTCTACTCTGTGGACATTTCTCTGTATTAAAAGCTGCTAATAATACATGACTGTTGGAGCCATTAATGAAACACAAATTTGACTGAATGAAGCAGTCATAGTACAGCCATTAATAAAATAACGCTGGGCTGGAAGAGGCTCAGACACGAGCATCCACTGACCTAGGCTACTGTGAACTCACACTGCCAAGTGACCCAACCTCTCCCCTGCTGCCAGCATTTTGGCACTACAAAGGTCACATTGTTGTCTTCACTTTCTATTTTCCATGATTTTGAGGGTGGAACTGAATCCCTCTGGGACCACAGTGATCTTTCCTCAGGCCTGGAGTAATGTCAGGACTTCCTGGACCCTGCCTGGTAACCTCTGCTCCCTAGAGAATGGCCACAATTAGCTGTGGTCCGGCAGCCACTTTCTCATCACTGACTCTGAAGTCTGTTCCCAGCAGGTGTCAGGTTGGGGACTGGCGGGCTAGAAGGACCTCCTGGCTTGGCGTCTGAGCCCCCCAGGTGGCCGTGTGACCCGTCTGTACAGTGGACATATCTCAGCTCCAGCCGTGGTCACTTAGGTCCCCACTGAAGTCTTGCTCCAAATCCATGGACCTTATGACTGGAAGCCTGGGTGTCACCTTTCTGGGGACATGCAGGGCAAGGCCTGGGCTGCAGGGCGTGTCCCCCACCTCAGCCTGCCCATTGGGCATTCTTGGTCTTTCCTTTGCCTGTGACGTGAGTGAGCCTCAGTTTCCCCTTTTGTCAATTGCAACTAGACCCTGTGACTCCAAGAGACTGCACAGATCCTGTTTCCCGGACCATGGGGTCCTTCTGCTGGTGGGGTGGGGACATCTGGAGCAGCCCTGGCAGAAGGCCCTGCCGGCGGATGTTTGTCAGGGAGACACAGCCTAGCTATTGAAATGGTCCAGACGCAGGGCCTGGGGATTGTCACAGCCGATGGGGTCATGCAGGGACCTGGGGGCTGGAGCTTCACTGCAGCGCGGCCGCTCACCGTCCAGGGAAGCTCGGTGCCTTGCACGGTGCTTCAGTTTCCCCACCTGGCAAAGGATTTGTCATTCCTGTTTCGATCTCTGGGGCGTCCTAACTCACGAATTGATCTGGATCACTGTGGGCTGTGGCGACCCTACCTCAGGGATTTCTCTCCTATGAAGGACATCCTCCGGTCTCCCACATGACTTTTTTGAGACAGGGTCTCTCTTTAAAGTCGGGGTGCATTTGAATTCCGCGGGTGTCACAGCGATGGACTCTCAGACCGACACCGGCACCAACCCTTAACCAGGGCTTGGTCACATACATCTATCTATCTTTCCAGCACTCGGGAGGCTGAGGCACGAGGATTGGTATGAGTTTGCAATCAGCCTGGGCTGCAGAGTGAGTTCAAAGTCAGCTTGGGCTACCTGAGGCCCTGTCTAAAAAAAAAATAAATAAATAAACAAATAATTAATTAAATAAAACAAATAAATATATAATTAAAAATAGACTTAGAGAACAGAGTCGCAGGTATGCTGTGCCTCAGTTTCCCCCAGAGGCCACGGTGGGAGACGCACAGCGATGGGCGGGGCCTGGCCCTCTTCTCTGTCCTCGGCTCCGCCCCGGAGCGTCTAAAAAGGCCCTGATTCCCGGGTCCTGCCTCAGCCCCGCCATGCAGGGCCCCGCGGCGCCTGGCTCCCCCCGGGGGTCCCCACGCGGCTCCCCCGCGCTCTTCAGGAAGTTGCTGATGAACCAGAGCATCCGCCTGCAGCGCCGTTTCACAGTGGCCCATCCGCTTTGGTGAGGCGAGCGTCCGGGACAAGGAGTTGGGGGGGGGGGGCAAGCAGAAGCAGCGGCAGCCACCACGTTGGGCTCAGGCGTTGATTCGCCCGCGTCCCTCCTCTCTGCCCTGCCTCTGCCTCTCTCTCAGTTGGTGCCTGTCTGTCTGTCTGTCTGTCTGTCTGTCTGTCTGTCTGTCTCTGTCCGCTCCATTTACCGCTTCGACGCACGCTGAGGGGACCAACCCACTGTGTCCCGACCCGGCCGATCTAGGGCGCAAGGGTGATGGGGGCGCCGGACCGAAGTCCCAGCCCTCGGCGACCACACGGGACGCTGATAGATCTCGTGGGGGTCGGGGCTGGGGGTCGGATGGGGGCTTCTGAGGCAGGGGTGAAGTTCCCAGATTCCTTTCCGGGTTCGAATCCCGGCCTGTGCTAAGGAGTTGTGACCTCGTGGGCTGCGCATTTATTTACTCAGAGTCAAGGAGACTCAGGGTGCATTGTCACCAGGCCTCTGCATTAATTTCGCGGGGACTGCTTGCCGACTGAGTGCAGCACCAGAGACGGGCGGTCCCGCACCCAGGTCACACAGCCTTTTAGTGACAGCTGGGAGGTGTGTGATCCTGGGGGAGGAGCGGTCCTGTTCCGGACCACGAGCAACCAACCGTCTCTAGGATGTGAAGGGAGTGGCCTGTCTGGTACTCAAAAGTGAGCCTGAGGACCGATGGCAGGTCCTCAGCAGGTTGGACCTGAACGCGGGTCGGTGCCTCAGTTTACCCATCTGGCCTACCCGCTGGTGCCGTTCCCACAGTCAGAACACAGACCGGCGAGGTGCTGTTCGCGTCATGGAACTATCGCCTGACCCCGCCAACCTCGGCTAAGTTTAGAGCAGAAACAAAATCAGCTTCTCAGCCCCAAGGAATCGCAAGCCAGTCCTTAACCCTCCGCGTCCAAAGGCTGGATTCGAACCCAGCACCCTGCAGTTGCCCCTGCCTCTATTTTTTCAGTCGTCCCAGGGTGGGACTGGGAAAGGGTTCTCCATCCTCAGGCATTGGGATGGCGAGCTTGGGGAGCTCATAGGGACCCCGGGGCGCCCTGGGCCAGGAGACACTGAAGATTGACGGAGCCCCGCCCATCGTGGCGTCACGAAGCCTGACTGTGCGGTGCCCTGAAAAAACCCCCCCGAGGGAATCTGGCGGAAAGGACAACAGCTGAGCGAAGCCGGACTAGGGCCGAGGATGCACGAATCCACCCGAACTCGTCCAAACCTCGTCGGATGAATGGAGCCGAGGTCATCTGGCCAACTGGCCAGGACCCTGACGGAATGACCTTTGGGTTACCGCGGACGATCCCGTGACCGCATCCCAAGGTCGCCACCTCCCTGCTGCGCCCCGTTTCTGCCACACACACCTCTTTTTAAACGTTTATCTATTTTATGAGTGTTTCGGCTGAATGTGTGTGAGCACCACGCGCGTGGGAAGCCAGAAGAGGGCGTCGGGTCCCCTGAGAATGGAGTCACAGTTGTGAGCCATCATGTGGGAAGCGAACCCCAGTCCTGTGCAGAGCAGCCCGAGTTCTTAACGGCTGAGCCGGCTCTCGCGCACCCCACACCCCTTCTGACCTCTAACCCCACGAAGAGGAGCACAGACCGACCCCACCTTGGGGGCCGGGGCTTGCAGAAGCTGGAGGCCTCGGCAGGGGGCGCGGCCGGCGGGTGGGCGGGGCCTGGTGGGCGGGGCCGTTCGCCCTGGACTCGCTTAGGCTCGCCTCAGTGGTCCCATCTTTGGCGGTGGGCGGGTGCAGAGCTCCAGGGAGGGTGCCACAGTGGACCGACGCCTCTGCTCCCTGACCTTACCTCTCTGTTCCTGCCTTCAGCTTCGACCTGGAAAATGGGCTCGTGAGCTGCAGAGGCCCCTTGGACCCTCAATCTGGCCGCGTCCTCCAGCCCCCTGGCCAGCAAGGCCAGCGGCGCGAGTCCTTCCTGTACCGCTCCGACAGTGACTATGAGCCTTCATCGAAGGCTGTGTCCCGGAACTCCTCGGTGGCCAGTGATCTGTGAGGCCCCTTCCTCCTTTTAGAAAACTCTTAGCAAGTTCTTCCCAGGAACCCCCAAGTGAGGTTTTGGAGTTTTGAAGTAGGAGTTTCCCAGAGTGTTTACTGTTAACATCCAGCATATAGCGAATACCAATGGTCTGCTGGGGACAGCGTGGCACATTAATCCGTGAACAGTAAGGTCAATCAGCAGCAGCTCACAAATACTTTTATTTTTTTTTAAATTTTCGAGACGGAAAAATACTTTTATTTGAGCACCCTAGTAGCTGTGACGAGAAGGGAAACAGTTACTTCTGTCCTGACTCTTAGACCCCTACTGTCATTAGGACTCAGTTTCCCCATTTTAGATGTGGATAATATGCTGGGGATTGGTTGGACAGGTTGTAGTTTTCTCTGGGAGAGCCAGAACCTGAAGGCCCGAGTCAGGAATCTTTAGAGGGGGCTCTCTGAAGCCAGCGGATGTCCTCACTGGTGGCCTTCCTGCAGATATGGAGAAGACATGATTGTCACGCCCTTCGCACAGGTGGGTGTCCCCATTGCCCTTAGCCGCGAACACGCAGGGGACCCGGGTGGCCTCTTACAGCTGAACACCTTGCTCACCACAGGTTCTGGCCAGTCTCAGAACGGTCCGCAGCAACGTGGCCACCCTTGCCCATAACCCAGGCAGTGCCACCAGGTATTGAGAGTGTGGCGGAGGGACAGGACCTGAAGGTGTGGGGTGCTTTGGGTGCTTGAGGTGCGGGGGTGGGGAGAATGGGGGTTTGGACGGGTCTGGAGAGCCTGGAGAGGTGGGCCCTCTCTGATGTCCCTGTCTGCGCAGGCAGCCGCTCTTGGGTACCCCTCCGTGTAGCAGCCAGCTGGCCGCCCCCACAGGTATGCACCCTCACTTCCACCTCGAGGGCAGCTGTTGGAGTCTCTCAGCTCATTGTAAGCCGGCTTCCCCCCAAACCCACCTTTACGTGGAGTCCGAGTCCGTTCCCTGTCATTCTCCTGCCCATGTTACAGGCTACAGAGGGCTGTGGGCTTGTCTGGGTCTCACAGCACTCGCGGGAGCTGTGGAACTGTGGCCAGGGGCTCCAAGGGTTGGGGTGCGGAGGTGGAGTGGCACAGGCTCTCCACCGGGGGTCCCTCCCTGACTCGCCTGGCCTCCAGAGGACGCTGGGCTGCAGCTGGCGCAGGAGACGCTGGAGGAGATGGACTGGTGCCTGGTGCAGTTGGAGACACTGCAGACGCGGCGCTCGGTGGGAGAGATGGCATCCAACAAGGTGGGGATCCAGCACCCCTGCTCGTCCCCCTCCCTGCTCATCCTCCTCCCTGATCACCTCCTCCCTGCCACCCTTCCTGCTCCACAGTTCAAGCGCATGCTCAACCGCGAGTTGACCCATCTGTCGGAAACCAGCCGCTCAGGGAACCAGGTGTCGGAGTACATCTCCCAGACCTTCCTGGGTGAGCCGCCTGGGCAACCTCCTGAGGGAGGACAAGCAGACACCATTACAACCCTTCTATAGAGGAGACGGAGATCTCACCCAACACAGTTAGTTGGTCAGGGCCGAAGGAAAGTGATGGACAGGGACACTTTCGGGAGGACAGGACATGGCAGGTAGCGTTCTGAAGCATGAGTAGGAGTTTGGGGAACGTGTGAGTCAAGTCACAAAGAAAACCTGCTGATGAGCTGCTGACCGAGGGAACAGGTGTGCCTGGGATCCGGTTAGAACCAGAACTTGAGCTTGGCAGGCTCAGCAGCGGTGAGAGTGAGCCACCCGCTCTCTGCAGACCAGCCGGCGGAGGTGGAGCTTCCCAGGCTGCCCACCGAGGACACGCGGCCCATGTCCCGGATCAGTGCCCTGCGCGGGCCCCGCCCCGCCAGCCTCCCCACAACTGCCGTCCCCCGCTTCGGGGTCCAGACAGACCAGGAGGCACAGCTGGCTAAGGTCGGTCTCCCCAGAGCTACGGGCCTCAGTTTCCCTCCCTGGACACTGGGCAGCCAGCGACAGTGGAGCCGCTGACGCTGCCTGGTCACTCGTAGGAACTTGAAGACACCAACAAGTGGGGACTTGATGTGTTCAAAGTGGCTGAGCTGAGCGGGAACCGGCCGCTCACAGCCGTCATGTTCAGCGTCTTCCAGGTGCCTCCCCGGGACGTTCGGTCCTCAGTTCTTCCCTGAAGCACGAGTGGGGCCGTTTAAACGGGGCGTTGAAGGACGAATAGGAATTTACTGGGCTTAATGGCTATTTTAGTCAAGGCACAGCGCTGTTCTGGCCCTGAAAAGACCTAGATCGGAACAGCGGGTTCCCCATCCGTGTTGGGGGACAAAGAAGAATTATGGGACATTGGAGGATAGATAGGAGTGGGGTGAGCTGAGCTGGAGCACAAAGCCAAGGCCCTGAGCGGGGTCTGTGTCACACCAGGAACGGGACCTGCTCAAGACGTTCCAGATTCCGGCGGACACGCTGCTGACGTTCCTGCTCACGCTGGAGGCTCACTACCACGCTGACGTGGCATACCACAACAGTGTGCATGCCGCGGACGTGGCCCAGTCCGTGCACGTGTTGCTGGGCACCCCTGCCCTGGAGGTATCATGCCCGGCTGAGGACAGTGGGTGAGCGCAGGGGAGAGTGCCACCCTTGGCCCTGACGCCCCGGACCTGCCCAGGCTGTGTTCACAGATCTGGAAGTCTTGGCGGCTATCTTTGCATGCGCTATCCACGACGTGGACCACCCGGGCGTCTCCAATCAGTTTCTCATCAACACCAGTGAGTGAGGTGACCATAGACAGCTGCTCAAGACAGCCCGGGCCACCTTAGCGCGCAGACTCAGAGGCGTGTCCGGGGCTCGGATGGCTTTCTGCATGAAGGGGCATTAGAGTTTGGGCTTCACCGCATACTTAGGAGTTGACTAGTGGCGTCCCCACCCCAGCTGTCTTTGGGTGGAGTGGGGTCCCGAGGCCTTGGCTGTTCCCATAGACTCGGAGCTGGCGCTGATGTACAATGACATGTCGGTGTTGGAGAACCATCACCTGGCGGTGGGCTTCAAGCTCTTGCAGGCAGAAAACTGCGACATCTTCCGGAACCTCAGCGCTAAGCAGAGACTGAGTCTGCGCAGGATGGTCATAGACATGGTGATGTCACGGCGCGGGGCGGGGCCTCTTTCGCACAGCGTGCTGACAGGCACGGATTCACGCTGGCCTACTTGGTTTTATCCTACCTGGTGGGTTGTCAGGCTCGGGCTTTCGTATCTCCTCTATAAATTCAACAGGCTTTATTAGGCGCCTGTTGTGTACGTCTCCCGAGGATTTTCCTTTGTTATTGTTTATATTTTTGGAATTTATGATTCCCCCTACCTCCACTTCTGTGCCCACAGAAAGGTGGCTTCAGCTGACAGCTGTGCCAGGGCGTCTCTGGGGTCTGACGGCCCCGGGGCCAGTGTCCCTGGCCTGGGTGACCCCCCCCCGCGTGTGTCTGTGGGCACACCTCTGGTGGCCCCGGAGTTTTAGAGCCCAGATTGGATCCCGCCTCAGCTCTCAACCCAGCCACAGCTTCCCGTGCTCCGCTTCTCAGCCTCCTGCACTTCTCAGCCTCTTCCTGCAGGGGGGGGGGGACGACGACACTGAGGAACGGAGGTCTCAGAAGTGCAGCATCGACTACTTCATGTGCCCCAGGTGCTGGCCACAGACATGTCTAAACACATGAGCCTCCTGGCCGAGCTCAAGACCATGGTGGAGATGAAGAAGGTGACCAGCCTCGGGGTCCTGCTCCTGGACAACTACTCCGACCGTATCCAGGTGTGGGAGCAGGCCAGAGCCTCAGTTTCCCCCTTTGCACTCTGTAACCCAGAAGTCTGGGAACTCGCCATCCTCACCGTCTTCTTGCATCGGCCTCCTGAGTGCTGGGATTAAATGCACACACGCACACATGTGCACACATGTGCACACGCACACATGCACAGACATATATGCACACACACGCGTGCACACACACATCCATTTTCTAGTTGGTGCATTTATGAAGCACTAACTGTTTACATTGCTGGAACTACCTGGTGTGATGCCTGTGTCTTAGCCACTCCTCCAGGCCTCAGTTTTCCCACCTGGAAGATGGGTGCTCTGGGCACTGATTTTAGGGATACAGTGAGGTGGGGGTGTGACCAGGCCCTCTGAGCCCCCACCCTACCCTCTGCAGGTCCTACAGAGCCTGGTGCACTGCGCCGACCTCAGCAACCCCACCAAACCACTGCCGCTCTACCGCCAGTGGACTGACCGCATCATGGCCGAGTTTTTCCAGCAGGGTGACCGTGAACGCGAGTTGGGCCTGGACATCAGCCCCATGTGTGACAAGCACACTGCCTCTGTGGAGAAGTCCCAGGTGTGTGTGCTGGGGTTTCACCCAGCTGGGGGGTAGGAACCAGGGCGACCTGGTTGACTGTGACCCCATGACCGTTCTTGCCTGATAGGGTCTGTGCTCCACCACTGGGTGGACAGGGATTCTCTGTGTAGCCCTGACTGTCCTGGAACTCACTCTGTAGACAGGATGGCCTTGAACACAGATCTGCCTGCCTCTGCCTCCCGAGTGCTTGGATAAGGCACATGCCACCATCACCTGGTGATCACCTGGCTAGGGCAGATTCTGGATTTGGTGTTTTTTTTTTTTTATTATTTATTTATTTATTTATTTATTTATTTATTTATTTATT